CGAATGCCTTCGGCAACTAAAACACTGTTAGTCGCCAATATATATGTCTTCAGCGACTAAAGATTTCGTCGCCAATAGTCAATTTCTTTATTGGAAATTATACCTTTGCCGACTAAACTGTTAGTCGCCAATAGTTCATTTTTATTTTATTATTTTTACCTTTGGCGACCATTCACTTTAGTCGCTGAAAGTATTTTCAGAAAATTTTTTTTTTTTGCCTCCGCTGCTCCCAACAGGTTTCGAACTTGCGACGTCTCTTTGCACACGCGAAACCCTTTGCACAACACTCCCTCCACTATGCCAGTACATCATTACATGATCATATATGCAATATATATTATTTATATCCTATATTAACCGCAATTAATACAAAGTAATATTTATAAATATAATTTTTTTAATTCAATATAATTTTTGTCAAAAAATAAATTATTTACTAAAAAAAAAATTAGGCGACTTTTGGCGACTAAAACCATTTTTTAGTCGCTAATTGTATTATTTTGGGCTACTAATTATTTATTTGTCGCTAAAAAAACAAGTTCTCAATTAAAAATCAGCACTTTTGGCGACTAAACAGAAATTTCGTCGCCAAAACCACTACTTTGGGCGACTAAAATGGATTTTCGTCGGCAAAACCCCCACTTTCAGCGACTAAATTGTTTTTAGTCGGCAAAACTGCTATAATCAGCGACTAAACCTGTTTTTAGTCGCCAAAACCATACCTTTTCGCTACTAAATTATTTTAGTCGCTAAAAACCGTGACTTTTGGCTACTAAACAAACTTTAGTCGCTGAAAACCCTATATTAGGCGGCAAAACTTCCTTTTAGTCGCTAAAAACATGCTGTTCGGCGACTAAACCCTTTTAGTCGCTAAAAACCTGCTTTTCGGCGACAAATTCCAATTTAGTTGCCATTTCATGCACTTTCAGCGACGAAATTTCATGTTTTGGTCGCCATTTCTGTTTTTTGTTGTAGTGGTTTGTGTCTGAAAACACAATAAATAATATTAAGATTATAATATAATTATAATTTAAATACTATTTAAATTTATTTTTTAATTTGATAAAATCTCAAATTTATTATAAAATTTTGAAATTCTCACAAAATTCCTCACAAAACACGTTTTTGCTTATATAATATATAGCTAAATAGATAAATGTGCCTAGTATATATATAATTTTCACGGGCATACATACAATACTGCTTTTACTTATATAATTATATGTAAATTGCATGTATGCCCGTAATGCCCTAGTGTATTACGGGCATACATACATTATATAAAAATATGTGTAAAATATATTGAACAAAAAGGAGAAAATAAAAAAAATAAAAAACAAATAGAGAGAAAAATAAAAACGGGAGAAAATAAAATAAAATAAAATAAGAGAGAGAAAGGCGGAATCATGAGATTATAGAAGGAGGGGGTGTGAGAAAAGGAAAAAATAAGAGAGAGAGAAGCAAGAAAGTAGAAAATGTATATTTAGAACATTTTTTGGAAAATATATCTCAACTATCGTTTTATAATTTAAACAGATTTGAGCCATCCATATTTCTTAATAGGACAAAAATATTTTGAAGATTCAAAAACCGTCTTGCTTTATTAAAATATGTTGAAGATTCATATGAGGTCTAAATTTACGAAGTATATCATGTATTCAATATATTTAATATTAATAATTAATTGTTTAAATTCATTTAATTTGTGCACTAAAAAATTAATTAATATAATCTCTACTACCCACAGTAAAATTTAGCTCCTAATTCTAGGATCACAAACTTTTTCATATAATATAAATAAAAATAAGTGATCAAAAATGAGAAAATAAAAATAGAGAGAAAAATAAAAATGATAGAAAATAAAAAAAATAAAAAGAAAAGAGAGAGGAATGTAGGATCATGGGATCATAGAAGGATAGATGAGAAAAGGAAAAAGTAAGAGAGAAGTAGGAAAATAGAAAAATATATATGTAGGATATTTTTTGAAAAATATATCTCAGCCGTTGTTTTATAATTTGAATAGATCTGAGTCATCCAAATGTCTTAGTAGGACAAATTCAAAAATTATCTTGCTTTATTATATAGATGTTGCAGATTCATATGAGGTCTAAATTTACGAAGTATATCAAGTATTCAATATATTTAAAAATAATAATTAATTATTGAAATTCATTTAATTTGTGCACTAAAAAATTCATTAATATAATCTCCACTTCACAGCAAAATTTGGATCCTAATTCTGAGATTGCAGACTTTTTCATATAATAAAAATAAAAATAAGTGATCAAAAAGGAGAAAAAAAAAACAAATAGAGAGAAAAATAAAAATGATAGAAAATAAAAGAGAAAGGAAGGTGGGATCATGGGATCATCTAAGGGAATCAGGATCCCCTCCTTGCATTTCCTACTTGCAAGCCCATTGGGCCCACTTTTAGGCCCAATTTTGATAATTTGAACCGTTCATATTTTAAGATTTGTTCAGTATATCATACTTGTAAAAAATCAAGTTGATCGGATATCAGAAAACATGTGTTCGGAAAACTAGAACTAAAAACTATTTTTTTAAAGAATTTAATAAACAATTTTCCGAACACATGCTTTATGATATTCGATCAACTTGATTTTTTACAGGTATGATATACTGAACAAATCTTAAAATATGAACGGTTTGGATTATCAAAATTAGGCCTAAAAGAGGGCCCAATAGGCTTGCAAGTAGGAAATGTAAGGAGGAAATGCAAGGAGGGGATCTTGATTCCATATAAGGATATGTGATTAAAGGAAAAAGTAAGAGAGAGAAGCGGGAAAATAGAAAATGTACATGTAGGATATTTTTTGAAAAATATATCTTAGCTGTTGTTTTATAATTTGAATAGATCTGAACAGTCTAATATCCTAGTAGGACAAATGTGTGTAGGAAAAATTTAAAAACCATCGTGTTTTATTATATAGATATTGAAGATTTATATAAGCTCTAAATTTATGAAATCTATTAGGTATTCAATATATTTAAAAATAATAATTAATTGTTCAAATTCATTAAATTTGTGGATTGTAAAATTCATTAATTTAATCTCCACTATACACAGTAAAATCTAGCTCCTAATTCAAGGATCGTAGACTTTAACATATAATATGAATAAAAATAAGTGAACAAAAAAGAGAAAATAAAAAAAAATAAACGAATAGAGAAAAAAATAAAAATGGGAGAAAATAAAAAAAATAAAAAGAAAAGAGAGAGGAAGGTGGGATCATGTGATCATGGAAGGATGGGTGAGAAAAGAAAAAAGTAAGAGAGAAGCAAAAAAATAGAAAATGTATATGTAGGATATTTTTTGGAAAATATATTTTAGCCGTTGTTTTATAATTTGAATAGATCTAAGCCGTCCAAATGTCCTAATAAGACAAATGTATGTAGGACAAATTCAAAAATCATCCTGTTTTATTATATAGGTATATATATATATATATATATATATATTTGTGTGTGTATATATAATTTTTTTTTCCTTCCGGTAAACCTATTGATGCTATTAATTTTGTCAAATTATTTTGCTATTTGCATTATGAAGCCTTGACTAAAATACTGTTAGAAATATATGATGATACGGAGGTATTCTGTTTGATCTGAAAAATATTGAATGATTCAAAAATAATTTAACAAATTATAATTTGTACACAACAAAAATTAAGAACTTACAGACAATATATGCATTACTAAAAACAATGAAGAAGTAGGAACCTGAAAACAGAGCAAAATTCCGAAGAATTTGACTCTAAATCGACTCTAATTTCAAAATTAATTTTTTTGGTAATTCAAATTCAATTCAACTCCCGGATGAGTGAGGTATTTGTAGGCTTCAAGATGGAAGTTCGAACAGACACAAACTTGTTCGAATTTCGGAGATTCAACTTCGAGAACCTACCTGAAATACATTAAACTCATTGTTCTAATTTCGGCAGTTGTAGTGACCTTTACCAAATCAGAAGGAAATCATGAGGAGTGATGACAGTAGTGCTTGGATGAGAGGGGATGTGGCCACCGGTTGTGTGGTGGTGGTGTTAAGAGCAATGGTGGTTCTGGGTTGGGTTGTTCATGATGATGGGTAATACATAATAAGTTGTTGGTGAGGAAACAAGGAGATGAGGGCATTACAATAATGTTGATTTCAAATTATATCCTAAACATTGTTACCACGCATCTTAATCAATGTTGAGTTAAACACATTGTTATTTGTAACAATTTATGTTAGTTTTACATTTTACTCCAAATCATGAGGAGTTTATGTGTATATTTTTAAACTTGAAAGGGGTAATGTGTTTTTGAGTTAAATCACAAGGGATAAAATGTAATTAACCCATATATAGTGAATGATTATGTGCAATTCAGTTTAATTTCATTTATTTAACTACAATGACGTGTCATTGTTCTATTATTGTCAAAAGAAATATAGAGAATAAAATTTAGACCCTTTATTTTTTATGATTTTTTTTTTACTATCTACTCAGAATTATGATGTAAGTCTCGATGTCATTGTGGGTAGCCGATAGAAAATGAATAAAAATAGTGTAGGCACAGAAAAATTCAAACATAAGTTTTAAGCAAAGATAAGTTTAGATACACCAATCCCATAACATGTGATGATGGAATGGAGTCCATCATCAGTGTGAGAAACTATAGTTTATTGGTATGTTGTTGAAATTTTAAATTAATTGTGAGCAGAAAAGTAGTTGTAACTGCTTCTGCCTAAGTTCACATGTTTATCATTGAAACACAAACGCAAAATCTTTTAAAACAATATAATAAAGTGTTGTTAGCATTGTATTCATCTTGGCAGACTATGAACCCCATCCAAAATGAATGCACATTATGTGCGTCTTTTTTTCTTTTTCATTAAAAAAAAAAAAAAATGTATTGTTATTATATTGAAAGTAATCATCAATTCAGCTCAGACATGAACGACATGATTGTCACAATTGTTCTAAATTTAGTATATTTTTGAAATGTGGTATGTTTTTTTGGACAGGACATGGTTGTCGGAGGAACAGACACAACCTCAAACACAGTTGAGTTTGCCTTGGCTGAGATGATGAACAAGTCACAAGTTCTGAGAAAAGCCCAACAAGAAGTTGAGACAGTAGTTGGCAAAGACAACATAGTGGAAGAATCGCACATTCATAAATTACCCTACTTATACGCGGTGATGAAAGAGACTCTGCGCCTCCACCCCGCCCTGCCGCTCTTGGTGCCTCACTGCCCCACTGAGTCCTGCATTGTCGGAGGCTACACTATTCCCAAAGGTGCTCGTGTTTTTGTTAATGTGTGGGCTGTGCATAGAGACCCTTCAATTTGGACAAACCCATTGGAGTTTGATCCAGAGCGGTTTTTGGGGGATTCTAAGTGGGATTATAGTGGGAATGACTTCAATTATTTCCCATTTGGGTCCGGGAGAAGAATTTGTGCAGGGACTGCAATGGCGGAGAGGATGTTCATGTTTTCGCTTGCTTCGCTTGTGCACTCTTTTGATTGGAAATTGCCTGAAGGAGAGAAATTGGATTTGGAAGAGAAGTTTGGTATTGTGTTGAAGAAGAAGGTACCTCTTGTTGTAATCCCAACGCCAAGGTTATCTGACCCAGCGCTATATGAGTAAAATCCAGAGAAGATTGTTACTAAAAACAAGAAAAATGAAAGAAAATAAGAGAAAAAGGTTCTGGTGCTTGATGTAGGTTCCATGTTTGGAATGAAGGTCCCAGGACGATGCATTTGCATGTTGTATTAATTACCCAAAAGTTGAGAACTTCATGTTCATTTTTACACTTGAATTTTCATTTTTCTAAATGAATTGCTGATTGTCCAATGCCTTTGTAAACAGACTTTTCTTTGAAATTAATGTGCATTTCAAATACTAAAGTGTTGTTATTTTGTTAGACCATGTCACATTAGTTTATTCAAAAAATAATAATAAAACTTGAAATTTGTGTGAAGTCAATCTAATCAGTTTTAGGAAAAGCTTGTTGCACATTGTTTTCTTCGAACCATCTAAACTTGGTTCAGAGGTCTTTCCATCTATTATTACCGATTGGTTTTGGGATTGAACATCTCCAAATATTTTGTGAAAATCCTACGTGATTTGTGATTAGATCAAGATTAACTAATTCCAAAACTCAATAAATTCAAAACACTCAACCTAAAATCATCAAACACTTACGAGAGTGATTTTAGTTTGTTTGTTTTTGAGAATAAACAATAAATCAACACAAACGATTTTTTACGTGGAAAAAACCACAATTGAATCAAACTTGTCTTGACTTGGGAAGTTTTAAAAATTAAAAAGGAAAAAATGAGAAGCAATTGATTCATTATAAAGATTCCATCTAGAAAATTATTACGTAATGCCATTACAATTTATGATGATTTTGATCTTGACAAATAAATTACTAGCTCAAATGCAAACTATGCTAGTAGATGATCGCAATCAACGCAGGGTATTTTATTTTTTATTTTTTTGTGTCATATGTGCTTGGCATATATATCATGTGTTATTATCTTTTTGGACACATTAATGTTCTTAATCAACATGGCCTGTTATTGTCCATTTTAAAACGTGGAACCAATTACGGAACCAAGATGTAATGTTAGTGAGTATTATCATATGTTGAACAATTTGGAACTGCTAAGCCAAGGAGGGAAATAAATCATACCTGAACATACCTTTCGCAAAGTCTGTTCCATTTATTTTGTTCACTCATTATCATTTGGTTTTGAATTTTATGTTTTTAAAAAAATTTACAAGATATCAGAATTCATTCTTTGGTGATTTAAATTTAATCGGCCACAACACCTACACCTTAATAATAAGATGAAAATTGTTAGGGATCTCAAAAAATTTATTACTATCATTTCTTTGTCTTATAATGGTGTAGGACCCACACCTGTGTGGAATCCACACACATATAAGACATTTGATAAAAATACTGATAAATCTCTTAGTGTCTCTAGCCTTACTCATAAACAGTTTTTCTATTTATACATAAATTAATTACAGAATTAAATACAACCTCTTGTACCTAGGTGTGAGACCCACAAAATATGTGAAAAAGTTATAGTTTTATGATTGATTTATGTGATCTTAGAATCTTTTTATTTTTAAATAAATAGCACATCATCTGAAGATAACCTAATAACCTCATACCTTTGTTTGTGTGATCTTTTTATTTTTATTTTTTACCACACGGAGAATGTCTTTCACTTGATTATATAATCGTATGATAGAAAAGTGCGTTAGTACAAAGAAGAGAGGAGATAAGAGGATCCCTTGCTAACCAAAACAATTGAATTCATATTGTAACTCAATGCCAAACTTGGTTTAATAAGCTATAATAACACATTAATAAATATGTTACGAAAAATTATGAGAGTCGTTACCAGTGGTCTAGTAAAATAGATTTGTGCACACTACTATAAGCTCAAAACAATCCAACAGTGGCAACTTCAAGAATGCTCATTTACAATGTTTCTCACCACCTATATCTTCAACAAACTATGCACTCTCTTCTATGGTGCTTGGTCATGGTGGTGGGACACCAGTAATGTACTTTTTCCATTCACTCTCATCGTCCTTGCAATCACATGGTACACATGGATCTTTACAAACAATAGCAAAAAGAATTAGCCACCGCTACCACCAGGCCCACGCGGTCTACCCGTGGTTGGAATACTCCCATTCCTTGACCTTGAGCTCCACTCATGTTTCGTGAGCCTCAGTCAGACTTATGGTCCGATCATGAGGCTCCCGATGGGCACAAAGGTGGGAATCATGGTCAGTTCGCCATCTGCAGCACAGGGAAATGCTCCGGGAACATGACATCACTTTCGCCAACCGTGACGTCCCAGAGTTGGCCAATGCTGCAGTGGCAAAAGGTGATTCGGATATAGTTTTTAGCCCGTATGGGCCCGGGTCATAGATGCTGAGGAAGGTTTGCGTCCGGAAGGTGCTCGGAAGCGCCACCCTTGACTCTGTCTACTAACTCCGCTGACGAGAGACCTGAAATACGGTTAAATATCTCTACAGCAGGGTCGGGTCTCCAGTTCATGTGGGTCAACAGATGTTTCTGACTGCTTTGAATGCAATAACAAGCATGTTGTGGGGTGTAATGGTTCAGGGGCAAGAAAGGGCTAGCATTGAGGCGGATTTCTAGGTCGTGGTGGCGGATTCAATGGGGCTTTTGGGGAAGCCCAATTTGTCGGATTTTTTCCCAAGTTTGGCCCGGTTTGATTTGCAAGGGCTGAAGAAGCAATCGTTGGGGATAGTTATGAGGTTCAATAGGATTTTTGATGCAATAACTGATAAAGGACCAAGATTGAAGGGTAGTAGACAGACCAAGGATTTTTTATAGGTTTTGTTGCAGCTGAAGAATGAAGGAGATGCCAAGACACCTCTCACCATGACCCATCTCAAGGTCTTGTTCATGGTATGTTTTAGTCTCTTCCAATTTAAATTCTTTATGGAAAGTCATGAAATTCATTTAGTAATACAAAATAATAGCTAATTTCTTTTGCGTTATAACGAAATGTCAATCTGTGAGTATAGGATATGGTCTTGGGTGGAACCGAAACAACCTCCAATGCTATAGAATTTGCCATGGCAGAGATGATGAACAAGCCGGAGGTCATGAAAAAAGCACAACAAGAGTTGGAGACAGTAGTAGGCAAAGACAGCATAGTAGAAGAGTCTCATATAAACAAACTCCCCTATTTATAGGCCATACTAAAAGAGGTCCTCCGATTGCACCCTGTCCTCTCTCTCATGGTGCCTCACTGCTCGAGCCAAACTTGCATTATCGGTGGCTACAAAATTCCAAAAGGCGCTCGGGTTTTCATCAATGTATGGGCAATTCATAGGGACCGTTCGATTTGGGAAAACCCATTGGAGTTTCGTCTAGAGAGGTTTTTGGATGGAAAATAGGGTACAAAGGAGCTGATTTTAATTATTTCCCATTTGGGTCTGGGAGAAGAATGTGTGCAGGCATAGCAATGGCTGAGAGAATGTTCTTGTTCTCATTGGCTTTAATTTTGCACTCATTTGATTGGAAATTGCCCGAGGAAGAGAAATTAGTCCTTTTAGAGAAGTTTGGGATTGTGTTGAAGAAAAAAGTGCCTCTCATGGCAATCTCAACACCCAGACTATCCAATCCTACACTTTACGAGTAAGCGAGGAACGACCATCGATCATCTATTTGTTTCACTCTCTGTCTCATGTCTATCACATATTACCCATGTAACTAAAAACAAAGATTAGAAGAATATGGGACCGACAATAGTACATAGAGTGAAATAAATGAATTCAACCTACTAGTAAAGTAAAAATGATATATTGTAATATTGGTTGCACTTTAAAAGTCTAATGCAATTCTTTTTGTAATAATGCTATACTTTAATTAATTAAAAATTAAAATATAATAGCGTTATCTTGTTTGTCATTATTATTTTTTCAGCATTGTTACCATAACAAAGCACTGTGTTCTGTTGGCCATCAATTTTTTGGTGTCTCTGATATTTTTCTTTTTTTCTTTTTTGATAAGAAAAGGCACTTCGATATATATCTTTCAAAGTGAAAATAAGGCCAAAAGAAATCAAAACTAGCTCATTTGTTTTGTTTTATTGGGTTCGTGAACTTAGACTAGGGACAAAATTGAATACAAACATTGCAGATATTTTTTGAGCCAGTGCTTTCGAACATATGAAAATGCCAAAAGAAATCGACCCATTGAAAGGACTATTTCATTTGTTTTCAAAGACTTTTTTTCCTTATAATTTTGAACTGTTCATTACATTTAAAAAAATTTAATGAACTTACACGTGACAATTAACACATACTAATGAAAATTAAGGGAAATTTGGCTATAAACCCCCTTTACCTTTCTTTCATTGTTAAAAGGACTAAGAAAAAAATTATACTTTCTAAACCCCCTCATAATTATATAGTGTTGCATAAAGGACAAATTTATTATTTAAATATTTTATATGACTATTATACTCACTCTCTTCCCCACTCTCTTCCTTTCCACATATGGCCTCTTTAAGAAGACTGGCAAGCTCTGCAACTTGTGCGGCACCGAAGCCGCCGTCATCACCTTCTCCAACGCCGGCAACACCTTCGCCTTCGGCAACCCCTCCGTCGACTTCGTCCTCGACCGTTACCTCTCTATGACTTCATCATCCTCCAGAGCCTCCGCCAGCTTCTCTTCCCTCTTTCGACATAGGGTTTCAACTCAAATCTGTGCACCATGAACGATTCCGATCTCTAATCTCCTGAGATCGACCTACGTGAACCGTTGTAGAATCGGCGAATCCCTCATCCGCAACCGTTGATCAAACACAGTTCCTGCAAATCGCACTGATACATATATATATATATATATATATTTTGAGTCTTTAAGATCGGAGATTTGAATGATTTTTTAGTAGAAGAGAGAGACCTGTTAGATCAAGTTTTCGACAAAGAATTCGAATTGTGAAAGAGTACAGAGACGAATCGCGCGACTGTTCAAAATTTTCATATTTGAATACAGTTCTTCAGATTTTTCATATATATATATATATATATATGTGTGTGTGTTTACGTGTGTGTGTGTGTGAGAGAGAGAAAGAGAGAGAGAGATTTTTCATTTGGATAGTGTTGTTAAGTTCTTAAATTGATCTATTGATGAGTTATTACTATGTTCTCTCAACTTTTTGTTGTAAAATTGTTTTTGATTTTGATAAATTTTTGTGTCGTGAGTGAGCAATATGGATTGTGTATATGTAATAGATAACAGAGAAGCCAAAGAGGTGATACGAAAGAGGCAAGTAACTGTGAAGAAACAGAAGAACAGTGGCTGTGAATGATCTAATTTCATTTGATAGAACCAGAGTAAAAT